CATTAAAATGTAGTTTTATTTTATTTATTTTCACCTGATTGCTTTTGTAGAGCTGAATTTCTTAAGTCTGTCCTGTTGGTGGTCTTGTTTTTTTTTAATCCAGTCATCATGGACATTATGCTCTCTCAGAGCTGTGGGAAAATCCTGGTTGGAGATCCTCATCAACAGATTTACACTTTCAGAGGAGCGGTCAATGCTTTGCATGCTGTTCCTCACACACATATCTACTATCTCACCCAGGTAGAAAACATTCACAAGGAAATTCCAGAGGCTTCTTATAGATTGTTTGTTTCACTGTTTATATATCTGGTAAATATGTTCAATTATTACCACTCGTTTTTTTTTTCATAGAGCTTCAGGTTTGGTTCTGAGATTGCCTACGTTGGTGCTACGATATTGGACTGTTGTAAAAAAGTGAAGCAGATATTGGTTGGTGGGAATCAGGATGGTAAGTTTAAGAAATATATTTGAGTAATTCTAATGAAGAGAAAAATCATTTTTGTAGATTTAGGAATGAAGTATGAAGCAGGCTGAATAATACAGTTATTACACATTTTCAGGGAGTGTAAGAGGAGAGGACACACACACACTGCAGTGTCTGAAGATGGGACAGAGGCTGCCAGAAGGGAGCGTGGCCATTCTGAGCCGCTGTAATGTCACTGTTTTTAGTGAGGCTGTCCGACTCACAGACGCCAACCCCAGCTGCAAGATCTACATTGTGGGAGTGAGTGTATTATCTTTTTTTTTTTTACATTTTCAACTTGCTTTTAAAAAGTCACTCAATTCGTTATCTCAGTGCCCACTGTTTCTGAAGTCTCTGAAACACCTCGACTGTAGTGTTGAGTTTTCTTCCAGAACCCAACACATCACAATGTTCATCATTTAAATAATCCCCGCCCACAGCACACAAAAAAGGGACGAGGCCTGGTTGCGTTGTGTTAGTAGTGTGATGAAACCTGTGGTTATTGTAAGGGGCGTGTCATTTCGGAAACGTTCTCCAAGAAGTTGACAGGCCAACCAATCAGAGCACATTGCCTTATTCAGAAGGAGGTAGCTTCACAGAGACAGGAACTAAATGGAGCGTTACTGACAGACTGGGAAGAGTGGTGCTGTAAAATATGTGGGAAAATAATGTGTTCTTTTAAACATTCAAGTATGAAAACCTATTCTAGTAGACTCCAAAAACAAAATCAAGACTTTGTAAAAGGGCTTCTTTAAACATATGACCTAATTAGTAATGATATGACAATGCCTATGTTTATCGTAATGTGTGTTTTAAACCTCGCAAATATTCTGATTTGCTTTTTTTGCTGATAATTTTTCAGAAAAAGTTGCTTGATGTTCAAAACATCTTTTTTTTTTTTATGTCAACCTCTGATTTCAGGGTGTTGAAAACTTTGGCCTGGCAAAAATTATGGATCTCTGGGTCCTGATGCAACCAGAAGACAAACGCAAGAAGGGTAAGTCAGTTTAGCTTAGAAAGTTTGAAAGTTCTTAGTCTCGCTGTTAAACAAAATCTCATAATTGCATGCTCATGATGGTGTCTGTGTTGCAGTATTTTAGTTTTGTTGTATGTTTATTGTTTGTGAAGCTAGCAAGTTATATTTCAGATAATTATTAATATCTTGTTGGCTCTTTTAAACTGATGGTTAAGTAGTTTGTCCTGAATTTTGGTTTGTTTCTTGACCTCAGAGAGGCTTGAGATCAAGGATTTCTTCATCCAAGGTTTCTGCAGAGAGAAGATGGGTGGATTCATGGGTCTGAAGCAATACGCTGTGGCCTCAGAAGACCGCGAGCTGGAGGGCAAGCTAGCCATGGTGGAGAAATTCAACAAACGCATTCCAGAGCTGGTCAAACGGATTTATGATCGTGCCCAGAAAAGCATGCTGGGCGCAGGTGAGTCGGACAGAAATAGAGAGAGAGAAATGACTAAAGCACTGGTTTTGAGGAATACACGCAGTAAAATCACTGTACGCATACAGCCCTCCTATGCAAGTTGCCTTTATCTCTCTGATTGTGACAGATTTTATCCTTGGTACGGTGCATAAGTCAAAAGGCCTTGAGTTTGACACAGTGGTTGTGACGGATGACTTCATGAATGTACCATGCGCTCGACACAACCTGCAGAGAGTGGGCGGTTTCAATGCAGGTTTGTGCTACTTTATTGAAAAATCCTTTTTTACCTTTAATTTTTACCTTAAGAGGTAATATATCACGGTTGCATATGACATTTTTGCCTAAATGTATATATGTTTGGTGTGTGTTTGCAATTCATTTGTGTCAAGAAACATTCTAGTGATCATCTTGGATTCATTTTTTTTAATGTTACTTTTCCACATGGTGCTTAAAATAGTGGCACATGTTGCTCCCCATATCTACAATCAATGAATGATTAATGAATGTGTGCACATAACAAAATAAAGCCCAGCTCTTACAGTTATTGCAGTCTCTGTATTCGAGCCTCAAAGTCTGTCTGGGCTTTAGCCAAGTGGTGGGTCAAAGTATACATTTGTGATGATCTGAAATCTGTGTGCACCTCCTGTAGGGCCCATCATTTTTAGCCAGTTCTTTTAAAAAATAAAATGGGAATCATTTTACTGCAGTGGGTAGAAATAATCTTATCCCTTAAAGGGATAGTTCACCCTAAATTAAATTAAGTCATAATTTACTCATCCTGGTGTTGTTCTTATGGGACATGCCATATTTTTATGGACCACAAAAAGATAATTTTTTTAAAGATGTTCTTCTCACACTCATCCATATGATGAGTCTATAGTGACCAGCATAAAGCTCTTTAAAAAAGTCATAAATGTATCACTCCATATGTTCCAAGTGTTCTGGAGATATATGATATAGGGTTTGGTGAAAAACAATCTGAAATTTATTGTATCATTTACTGAAAAAAAATAGTTCTTCTGTGCACGCCTTCGAGATCATATACTGTCTCTTAGTTGCAAAAATATTCACCTAATGTTTCAATTGGCCAATCAAAAAGGAGTGTTCCTGATATTTCTGAATCTTTACCCTCTGGATGCAGCAAACGTCCCAGATGACGAGTGGAACCTGTTATATGTGGCGATCACACGAGCCAAGAGAACGCTGTACACCACCAAGACCATCAGCAACATCCTCACATTCCCTGGGGCGAGTTACTGCTGCTTCATCTTCAATCTGATCTTTATAATCTAAAGAATATCCAGATATCATGACATTGAAGCATTTCTATTATTACTAAGTTTCCGGCCTCCTTCACAGGAGTACTTCCTGAGGTCAGAGCTGACCAGCACTCTGCTGAGTAAAGACCCATCTCTCGTCTGCTCCACCGAGGACTGTCAGAACCACATCATCGCAGACTCCATCCTCAGCATGTGCAAACTCCCTGTCAGATATGTTAGTGTCTCTCTGCTCAAGCATTCATCTGAGTTAAGTTCCTTTAAAACCCTTCTTGTATTGATTAATTCAATGTATGTGTCACAGATGGACGGCTCTGACATGGGTGGCGTTCTGTGTTTGACTTGTGTGGAGCAGCGTGTGGGGCCTACAGCATTCCTGCTCTCTCCTCCTGAACGGGTCCGATCCATGCCCTATACCGATGAAAGATACCAGCTGCCCATCAATGTTGCCATGCTCTTATCTTTACTTTGAACACCATCTTGTGTTCGGATCATTTAAGTGGCCCTTTGCATTTGTGTCGTTTGTGGGTCTTTTGTAAAGTTCATGTTTGCGGATTATTCTAGTCTGCTTTATTATTTTTTTTTTTACATTTTTAGTTATTTATTTAAGTGTACAGTGACCATTTTGAGACTTCCTAAAAAAGTTTTTCATCTGCAAAGTGTTTTTGCCCCTCTCCTTTCATTATACTGGTTCTCCCACATTGCGACTTGCCCTTTTGGAACTGTAAACATTGACGTCACTGTTTTTAGGTGGAGAATAGTGAAAAGTGCCTTTTTCTGGCAGCTTTAGAAGGGCCTCTTCAAGCCCTTGATACCTACAGTATTGCAGCTATTGAAAATGACACAATAGTTGATGAGCAACACTAATTTTTAGGATTTTGTTTACTGTACTGTATGTCCATGTTTGTAAAATCAGTTATGTGTGGAAAGAAAAACAACCGTTCCTACATATAGTATAACATAAAGACGGATGGTATAATCGGCTACCTTAAGTTTTGCACTTTTATTCGTTCAGTGTTTTATATTTTCATTGTCAATTTTTTTAAAACTGTTTGAACAAGCGTGATCGTGATTTGTCATCTTTATTTTTGACCATTTGAGGAAAAAAAATGTATGTTGAATTATTTTCTAAAACATAATTGTTTTATAAGGCTTTTTTTTCAGAGTGACTTATTTGAGAATGTATAAGCATATGTATATGTATGTTGCAATTCTAAAACATTTTTTTGTTTCAGAAGACATTTTTTATTCAAAGTGATTTGTTTGAGAATATACAATCACATGTATATGTATGTTGCAGTACAGACTAACTAAATCTTGGGCAGATCTGTTGCTCAAACAACATCTCAACAAATTGCCATGTGTTTTTTCTTCTAGCTTAATTATTACTTGTGAAATGGATTGACAAAAACAAAACTCTTTATTTTTAGTGTGTACAGCTATATTTGTGTGTAGAAGACAACTTTCTTTATGAGAACCAGTTTGAGTTTTAGACAAGTTGCGTATATGAGGACAAAGAGAGTATTTGAGAACATTTTGCCCAGTCCTCACTTTTTGAGTCCCCTTTTAAAGGCCTGTTTGAGGGTCAAGACTTGGTTTTTGGGATAAGGTTATAATTAGGTTTAGGGTAAGGGTTCAGGTTGGACACTTAAATTAATTTTTTTTAATTAAAGGATCATACGTTGTATACATAATTCATATACCATAATTCATACACTATATTCATATAGTATCACGATCTATCACATATATAATAATAAGTGGTGAAATAATAGAATAGTAATATTTGTATGTGCCACACCCACTTTTTTCAGAAAAGCTCGGGACGTCCCTGTAAGACACAGTCAGACAATACAGTGGCGTGTGTGGATTTTAGAGATATTTGGAAGGATCCTGAAAGAAAAATGCATTGCTGGGTGTCGTGAGGATACATGGGATAAATAGGGGAAAGCAGCACGGAGTTTAGCTGGACGGCTCGTGCGTTGGTTGGCCACGCCCACTCGCCGTAGCTACACATTAATTAGCGCGACTTCTGAAAACTGGTAAGTGACTAACTTAATATAATTAGCAGTATTTCGGTATACAGTTCAAATTAAATCGATTAGAAGCGTTCCCATGGCTTTATATAAGCTATACTTATATAGACTCGCATCTTTTTTTATGAAAGCTATCTCTATCAGCGATATTTGATAGACTGTCAGTTTGGTGCTCAGACATGAAAACTTCATCGTTTTTTTTGTTTGTTGATAATGTTACCTGTACATCAGTAGCCTATTCACTAACTAATGATTTAATAATGTTTGTTATTGTTATTAATGTCAATTTTGTTGCCTATAATATGTAAGTTAACGAACTGTCTGACTCTTGAGGTAAAGTTATGCGGTGACATCATTTGTTGACGTTTCAGTCGATGTTGTTCTTACATTTTAAATGCTTTCTGCTTTTAAAATCTAAAAAGGCACACAAAGTGACCAAAATACTTACATTAAATTTTATTTCGTCTAGTAGAGAAATAAGACAAGCAGCCTTAGTGGCATATGTGAGAGCTTTTTAAATACAGTATAACGTTAGTTACATTCCTGTATAATTTTTTTTTTTTTTTTTTTTTAAATCATCAGAATGACAGCTCAAGGCGTGCTTAGCACAGTTAGTTTTTTGTTCACTTGGAAGTTGGTTTATAGTTTATTTCAGCAACGCTATAGTGAGTTTTCTGAGTTTGAAGGCCCTAGAAAATGTGATCTTTAATGTGGAGAGAAAGAAATAGATAACTCTTGTGTCCAAGGCTTAGTGAAGAATGCCAACAGGAAGGAAAGGCCAGGAGACTCCTGATAAACAGTCCCACATGTGTGCAAGAGCCTCAAGAGACCCAAAATCCACTTAGAAATGTGTCATATAACATCAACAGAAAACCCCATCTCCAAGTATCTAACAGTTTTTTAATATCTTCTTTCTATCCGTTCACAGATGCTGATGGTGAAAAATGGCTTTATTGAGGAACAGTAAGTAACAAATGCATGTTTTGCAGATTGCGTTTCCATGAACCAGCCTATGCAGTTGTTTATTTCATCACTGTTTCATAATACATGGAAAAACTCCAAGGCTGGTGATCAGTGTATGAGTCACACTCCGAATCAGTCTCTTGATACAAAACTATAAGTCTAACATAAAAGAAATTAGATGGTTCTCAAACTTCATGGATAACTGAGAGCACACAGTGAAGTTTTACTGCCTGGTTTTGTGCTGCTGTCCTGCCAAACTGGAATGTGTCCATAGTGTGTGTACGTGGTGGAGGAGGGGTCAGTCCCAATGGTCGTCCCAGAGTAAATGAGGTAACCAGGCAGATTCGGACCCATAAAAGTGAAGTATAGTAGGGTCTCTGAAATCCCACTCAGAACACATTTACGGAAGCCAGAGTTAACTCTTAAGTGTGTATTGTATTTGCAGGCCTTTATATTGTAGTTTTGAGTCATTATTTGAATCATAAATGCAATCTTCTCCCCTAACATTATTAATAATGCTGTAATGATTGACACTTGAAGAACTCTTTTGTTCAGACAGTTCAGACACCTCTTTGTCTGACTGGCAGTGTTATTTTAATATAATTGATAAACTATTATAGTATTTATTAATATTTTGAATTAGCCTTTATTATAAAATTTCCAATTTAATTTTAGTTTAATTTGAGTAACTTTGGTTTGTTGTTTTTGGTCAATTTGCTTTAATTTAATTTAAATTTAATTGATTTATTATTTATTTGATTTAATTTATATTTTTGGTATTTAAACTTAAACCCATTTCATTTAGATGCCAAGACGATATAAAAGTTAAAGTTTTTCATCTAATATTAACATTTTATTTCAGATTTGTTTCAATTAAAAAAAACATTGTTTAATAGTTTTAGTTAACAATAACAACACTGCTGACTAGTATAAATGGTTTACTAGTAACTATTGTAACTATTCATTAGATGCTAATACTTTTTTAAATTGGTAACTAGTGATTAGAAAGATCATGGATGAGGTAAAAATGTATTTTCACATCAATTTTTGTCTTACAATGACCTCTAGTGGTCATTCTTTTATTTATAACTTGCTCTCTCTCTCTCTCTCTCTCTCTCTCTCTCTCTCTCTCTCTCTCTCTCTCTCTCTCTCTCTCTCTCTCTCTCTCTGTGCCAGTCAATCGTGGGCTCCTTATTCTGCTCGTCCTGGTGACTTTTGCTCTCCTGTACAACAAGACCAGACTACAGATGCTGCCCAATTATTCAGGTACACATGCTGGCCACAGATATTAAAGTATATGTGTGTTTTTTGGTTTGTTATACATTAATCTTATTGTGGTTTATACAGTGCTCAAGATAGGTGAGACCAAAATGGGTATGGAGGACGAGAAAGAGATGGACACCGACATCCCTGTGGTGATCTGTGCTTCAGAGGAGCGTATTGGTGCTTCCATGGCCACCATCAACAGTGTCTACAGCAACAGTCGTGCTAGTGTTTTCTTCTATATAGTTACCCTGCGAGATGCCATCAAAAAGATAAGGTGCTAGGTCTAACCTTTGACCTCTGTTGCAAATATACCACTTACTGTGTTTCTCAACTGGTTTTGCTTCAGAAAAGAGATTTTACACATATTTCATTGTACATAAGGAGTTTATTGTACAAAATGTCTTCAAAACATTTCTCAAACATTGATTGAATAGTACTATGTGAATCAGACCTATTAATCCACTCTTTACATGTCTCAAAGAGAAATGAGTAAATATGCAACCAATAAATATCCTCCCAAATGCCTCAATCAGTATTTTCTCTGGACTCAAAAACAGGGAATACATAGAGAAGACCAAGCTCAGAAAAATCCGATACAAGATCCTGGAGTTCAATCCGATGGTATTGAAGGGGAAAGTCAATCCGGACTCGTCCAGACCAGAACTGCTGCACCCTGTGAGTTCTGTGTATTTTTTATCTACAGTTGATGCTTTAGGTAAACTCTTCATTATTTATAACAGGTGTGATCACTTGGTACACTACATGACCAAATGTCAACACCCCCTTCTCTTCAGCTACACCCTAACAAGTGCATTAAATAAAGCATACAGTCATGTCTTCTTCTTTGACAAACATTGACTGTGGGCGGTGCTGACACACTTTTGGCCAGGTCGTGTATGTGATCTTGTAGGTCCATCATAAGGTTTTTACTGAAAATAATTGTTTCTCGATCCTGGTTTCTTTGGTGTTGCAGCTAAACTTTGTGAGGTTCTACTTGCCACTTCTTGCCATTGAAAATCACGAGCGGATCGTTTACTTAGACGATGATGTCATAGTACAAGGTGAAATCCAACCTTACCCTTGTACTCACATCGATCATAGGAGGATGATCTCTTATGCTCACTGCAATAATTCGTTATTTTGATTATATCTGGCTTACAGGAGACATAAAGGAACTGTATGACATAAAGCTGAAACCAGGTCATGCTGCTGCGTTCGCCTCAGACTGTGATCTGCCCTCCACACACGAGATGGTGCGCAGTGTGGGGATGCAGGTGGGCATTTTTGGATGCATGTATTAGTATTTTAGATATGGTTTAAAGAGACCATATTATGCCCTTTTACAAAATCTTGACATTGTTTTTGAGGTCTACTAGAATAGGTTTTCATGTTCAGAAACAGTGCGCATTGATATAAAGAACTCCCTTTGAAGTGACTTTGTGCTTCATAGCTTTGCAGACTTTGTAAACTTTGCAACTCTGTTTTTCATGCTCAAACAGCAACATTTCAGACTAAAGGAAGTTGAAAATTGGTCCTCTTTAAATTAATCACCATAGTTACTGTTACAAGGGTTGATTTGTCTCTTCATCTTATGAAAAAACAACTCCCTCCCACAGACAACCTATATGGGCTTTCTGGACTACCGCAAAGAGGAAGTCAGAGAGTTGGGCATCAACCCTAGCGACTGCTCCTTTAATCCTGGTGTTTTTGTGGCAGACGTCGGTGAATGGAAACAGCAAAAGATAACTAAACAGCTTGAGAAATGGATGGCTAAGAATGTCAGGTGATATAATGGTTCATAATGAGTTGTGAGATCAAGAGATCAAATTAGTTCAGTAAAAACAAATGTTCCTCCCTGCCTCAATTTAGGGAGAACCTGTACAGCAGTGCTGTGGCAGGGGGTGTGGCCACCCCTCCAATGCTGATCGTCTTTCATGATAAATACACAACCATTGATCCACTGTGGCATGTCAGACACCTGGGTAACTGACTTTTTTTCTACCACATCTCACTGATTGACTTTAGATCTCTTCAATCTTTCTACAATTTCAATTTGGAAAGCAATCTCTCCCTATTAATTATCCATAATGCTGAAATGCAAATGAAACATACTCATGTTGATTAAATCTGAAAAGTACTTCATTAAAACACGGACCACTTTTTTTTATATATACACTGCACTAATTTAAGAATGCACACAATTCACCTGGCAGTTAGTATATACATAATACACTTCTTTACAAAAAAAAAAAAAAAATCATCAAGGCCATTAAATTGATCAAAAGTTGCAGTGGAGGTATTTGATGTTACAAAAGATTTCAATTTTAAATAAATGCTGTTATTTTGAACTTTTCAAAGAATCCTCACAAAACCGTTGATAAATGTTTTAGCAACAAATCAGCATATTAGTATGATTTCTGGAGGATCACATGACCCTGAAGGCTTGAGTAATGCTGAAAATGTTCAGCATTGCCAAGCAGAGCTAAGCAATTTACTTCAGCTTTGCCAGAAGTAAACACTAAACTTATTCAAATAAAAGATAAAATGAATAGTGTATAGAAACAAATGCTGAAATAAAATAAAATAAAAATTCTTTTTTAGCATAATACATTTCATATATACTGGTAATATATCCTATAAAACAAACATCTCAGGCTGAAATAGTCTATTCAGTGAACTAAATGTTATTGAAATTAAACTTCAACTGATTATTTCAGCTAGCTGTAAAGGCAACATTTCCCATAATAATGTAGTTTAAATTGATGTACTACACAAATAAAATAGACAATTTAACTAAAATCAAAAACTATAATAGTATCTCAGTGATACTAAAAATACACTGGAAGAGGGTCAGCTCTTGAACACAATGTCTTAATTGAAATTATGAAGAATTGTGAAAATATATTTGTAGTAGAGTAATAAACATTGTTCTGATGTTTTATGAAGGCTGGAGTCCTGATGCCCGTTATCCCAGGTCCTTCCTCAAAGAGGCACACTTACTGCACTGGAATGGCCACTTCAAGCCCTGGGACTACCCCTGCGTTCATCTGGACCTCTGGGAGAAATGGTTTATCCCAGACCCCACAGGAACATTCACCCTGGTACGACCACAAGACTGAACAATCTCTGAATTTAAACTGTCACTTCACTGAGACGAGATTGGAGTTGCCGATTTATGTCAGACAATAGTTCAGTAACTAAATCATACAAAGATAAACTAAACCCAACAAACAAGCCTGTTATTTTAAAGGGAGTCTGTAAAATGGGTAAAACAAGGCAACGATGAGGTAAAAGACGAATCCCACACAAGAATCCTTTTCCGGAAACATTTAATAGTTCTGTGGACAGGAGTCAGCACTCCACAACTGGGTCAGTTAAATATTAACAAATTTACAATCATGGAGGAATGTAAAAAAAGAAAAGATCAAAACACAAAACGCAACGCCTTTAAAAAAACAGTTCCTATCCCCCAACCCACCCACACAGAGAAAAGTCAATCAGCATCTTCACTCTGCATCAGTCCGACACCCCGTCACTCTTAGATTTACAGCTCATCTTTGTCTTTGACTTCCTGAAACACAGAAGTACGGGTGTTAAGACAAATGAAGACACAAGGAACAGCATCTTAAACAAGGACAGTTCTTCCATTTACCCACCCTCATGTAGTTTCAAACCATTTAACGGTTACACTTCATTTCGATAGTCCATGCACGCGTTTTGGATTGCACACGTTTGGTTTTGGTTCTAAACTTGCATGGTAGAGTATAAAAATGCAACTGTACTGCGCATGTCAAATGCACCCATCCACGGTTGAATATACTTTGAAAGCGGAGCAGACACCACTGTGAGCGAGACCGAGCCAAATGTGGATAATGAAGTATATCCAGGCCTTTAGTAGACCGACTGCTTAACTGCCAACACCATTTAGATTATCACCAACGTCAACTTATTCTACAAACCCTAAACCAAACCTAGTCTACAAATACTCAGAATTAGTTGAAATGTAGTTACAAAGTTACATCTTAAGTAGTCTAAAGTAATGGTTAAAGTGGACTATCAAAATAAAATGTAACTAATAAATTCCCCATTTGCATTTCTTGAAAGATACAATTTTGGAACATGTATTAAGCGAGTTTTCACTCACCGAATCTTCTTCCTCATCTGCCTGGACCTCCTCTTCATCCTCAGCATCTGCTTCCTCAGTCTGTTCTTCTGGTTCTTCCTCTGGCTCCTCCTCAACCTGTGAACACGGTAACAGGATATTGAGCCAAACTTCATTTGAACATCTCCCATTTCGCGTACCAGTGCTCGATTGTGCATGTACCTGTGTGTCGAGGTCTACATTCATGCTGAGCCGCAGCATGCGCTCTATTCTTTCTCCATAAGCTTTGGTGTCGGAGAGCTGGTAGCCGGATCGCAGCGTGGCAGTCTCAAAGAGCACTACTGCTAAATCTGCTGCTGTCTGATCCTCAGAGTCTTCCTATAAGACAAAGCACAATACGTCAGACTATTTTGAACTCAATTTGCAGATTTTAAGTGGAATATTTAATAAAAGTGAATCAGATTATGTTTAACTTGCCTGGACTCTCCTCAACATCTCCTTGATGAGAGGATGTTTGGGGTTGATTTCTAATGTCTTCTTTTGACTTGCGTAATAACTAGATGAGGAAAAAAAAAAAAAAAAAAACAAGTTTACTTTATGACCAGATAAGTTAATTTTCAGAATAGTCATTTTTCCATTTTCACATAGCAAGCCAAGTGGTGGATAACTGTACAGGTTGTCACATTTACAGATGTTTTGCCAATTTTCGTGGGCAAAATTCAGCAATCTCAATAGAAAACCACACAGTCAGGAATTGTGCATGAAAGATTTACACGCATTTTCCGTAGCTGAAGTCAGTTGTGCGGTGATTGACAAAGTGGCTTGGTTTGAGCTGTGCTTCAAACACAGACAATTGTCTTTGTCAATAAGTTAACAAATTCTACTTCTGTGACTGCACCTGAAGATGTGGTTAATGATTGCCAGATCATTGCTATGCAGTTGCTAAGGTGATTGCCACTGTGATCGTGGTTAAGACTTTTTCAGAGGACATACTTTGTGGAAATGTCTTTTCCTGTCTGGTAAGCCTGGGCTTTCATGATCCGTTCCATGTTGCCAGACCATCCGTACTGACTGGCAACCAGTGCGCATGGAGAGTTGGTCAGCCTCTGGGACAAAATGGCTTTCTCGATCTGAAAAACGAAACAAGGACAAACACGTTTCAATATATCTGCCACGTCTCAAGTCAACCAGCTTTTAATATGCAATACAATGAAACAAAGGTAGTAATCATACGTTGTCCTTCAGGGCCTTGTCTTTCATCCAGGTGGTGAGGGGTTCAAACTCCTTCTCCAAAGCTTCCCTCTTCTCCTTGGCCGAATCACTCTCGTCAAACTTCACACCCTCCTTCGCCACATTCTGGAAGCGTTTTCCGTCAAACTCGGGCAGGGCCTGGATGCAGTACTCGTCCACTGGCTCAGTCAAGTAGATGACCTCATATCCTTTCTTAAGAAGCCTCTCCACAAATGGAGAAGACTCAGCCTAAAACCAGATTAAATATTACTATGGAAATTGAGAAATCGAGTACCTTAGTAATAAGCACAGTTAAAAGTAAAATATTTAAGCACCTCCTTTCTGCTGGTTCCAGCCATGAAGAAGATCTTGTCTTGCTTCTCCTTCATCCTCTCCACATACTGCTCCAGACTAGACTGTACAGTCTCGCTGTGGGAGGTCTGGAAGCGGAGCAGCTTGGCCAGGCGGGTTCTGTTGGAGTGATCCTCAATAACTCCCAGTTTGATGTTGGTGCCAAACTCCTTCCAGAACTTGTCATTGTACTCCTCCTCAGCGATCTTCTTGATCATATCCAGGGTCTTGCGGACCAGCTTCTTACGGATGACCTAAGGAAGGAAGGAAGGAACCAATATGAGTTTTGAAAACACTTGAAATTTGCCTGTGCAACAATTTCATCATATAATTTAACAAAAGTCGATGTTACTTTGAGTGACACAAGCTCACCTTGAGCAGTTTGTGTTGCTGTAGAGTTTCTCTGGACACATTCAGAGGCAGATCATCAGAGTCCACCTGAGAAATCAGATCAAACATTGACTCTCCAAACATAATTATTGGCCGAGACTTAACAAATATTTTTTATTCAGTGATTACACCATCTACCTTCTTGCCTTGGTCTGACATTACAATATCGAACACATCAAATATTTTTAAATTAAAGACAGCATATTCACAAATTCTATATGAAAATTGTTTTTTATAATAGTTTAAAATAACAATTTAATTTATTTCAATAAAGAAATATGTATTTGAATTTTTAGTATGAACACTATTATTCCTGGGTAAAAGTACTAAAATTAGAGTGAAATGCCAAAAACAAATCATTTTTTGCTAAATAAAAGCACATTTATACCCTCCCATATATTACATGAGATGTCTGCTCAAATGCAAGGCTCTTCACTAATAAGCCAAAATGCAGAAGTATTATCAGTTCTAGGGAAATGCAATGCAAACAAGATATTTCTGTACGTGCAGAACTAGGATTGTAAAGGTTTCACAATGCAATCTGAACATCACAATGGCAACATTAAGAGACAGCCAACAGCACTTACAACGCCTCTGATGAAGTTGAGGTACTTGGGCATCATGTCATGGAAGTCATCAGTGATGAAGACTCTACGAACAAATAGCTGATGGGAAAGAACCAAATTATGTACGGTTAACAACTACAACATAGGAGAAGGTGTTCTTTTCGCAAATAAAAGAAAACCAATTACCTTGATGAAGTCATTCTTCTTGGTCCCATATTCATCAAAAAGACCTCTGGGTGCAGATGCAGGGATGAAGAGGATGGACTTAAAGGTAACCTCGCCTTCAGCGGTGAAGTGAATGTGTGACATGGGCTCATCTGTGTCCTAGATGAAAGCAGAATTCCACTTGAATTAACCCAAGAGGCCACAGAGGACCTTGATTGAAAGTTGATTTGTGCACAAAGCACATTCTCTCACCCTGGAGAAGGTCTTATAGAAAGCTTTGTATTCATCCTCCTCCACTTCTTTTGCAGGCCTCTGCCAGATGGGTTTAATGTCATTCATCAGTTCCCAGTCCCACACGGTCTTCTCCACCTGAAGGAAGTGAGGAATCATTGAGAAATGTAGAATTTAAAATAGTAGCTGCTAGGGTTGATTTGCATATACATTACCTTTTTAGTCTTTGGTTTGTCCTTGTCTTCATCCTCTTCCTCAACCTCAGCTTCATCTTCAGTGGTCTCTTCCTTATCTGCCTCAGCCTCATCCTCAATGGGCTCCTCCACAGTCTCGGTCTGAGAAATGACATGAGTTTATGGAGTCCTAAAGCTAGTTAAGCAAATGGTAAACTTCAAACTAGCGAGTCTTTGGAGACACTGACCTTGCTGCTCCATACATAGATGGGGAAGTTGATGAACTGAGAGTACTTCTTCACCAGGTTCTTAATAGTCTCCAGCTCAAGGTAGTCTGAAGCTTCCTCTTTCATCACCAACCTGATGAAACGAGACTTTAGTTACAATGCGTCACAATCTACACATTTGAAACATTTAAAGTTCAGCTGCTTACGTAATGGTGGTGCCTCTGCCCAGAGTGTCACCACGAGGGTCTTCGATGACAGAGAACTCATTGGAATCAGATTCCCAGATGTGTTGGGTGCCGTTGTTGTGCTTGGTGGTGACAATGACCCTATCAGCCACAAGGAAGGCAGAGTAGAAGCCCACACCAAACTGACCAATCAGCTCAGAGGTAGACTGATTGTCATCCTGTATCTCAGTCATCTTGTTGAGGAACTCGCTGGTTCCAGACTTGGCGATGGTACCAAGGTTCTTCACAAGATCTTCTTTGGTCATGCCGATGCCAGTGTCAGTGATGTGAAGCATGTTCTTGTCCTTGTCGGACTGGTGAGAAAAAACAAGATATGATTAAGTATTGAATAACCTAGATAAAAGCAACTCAAAATATTGACTAAATGAACTAGTTGGTTGGAGTTTTTTTTTAACACCATGCCAGCTTTGTCTATTTTCATGGCAAGTAACAAGTTAAACCATAGAGCAATTAAAACCTATCCAAGGTCTTTAAAACTTTGCTTTAGATTAAGACTCTCAAAAGGATACAGTTGTCTGACTCTTCTAAAGTGTTTGCAGAGTAATATAATTTCCAAAGAGAACTTAAACCATAAAATATTCAAATATTTAAGATACTAGACTTCACTATATGAACTAATAAATAAAACAGTAATAATTTGCGTAGTTAATCAAGGTGTCAAGTATCAAAATTAAGATATGAAAAATTACAGGAAGGAAATGCTCCTCAATTTGCTTCACACATGGTTGAATTCCTTTTGCAATGCAAATGTGAGTTATGTTGTCTCTCTCCACTTACAATAGGCGAGTCTCAGGACTCATTTTTAACACACCTTGATTTTAATAGTAAGTTCTTCATTTCCAGCAAGGGCATCATCGTGTGTCAGGGACAACAACCGGATCTTATCCAAGGCATCGGAAGCATTAGAGATCAGTTCTCGAAGGAAGATCTTTAGGATGAAAAAAATAATTATGAAGCGTAAATCTTGTGTGATTTGCAAAACCATGATGAACAGCATGAAGACTAAAACAAACTACCTTTAACATCTTCCACCTCCAATACTCACCTCTTTGTTCTTATACAGAGAATTGATGATCAGTTTCATCATCCGGTTCACTTCCGCCTGGAATACATGCTTTTCTGCTTTATCACGTATTTCCTTTATTTGTGAGGCGTTCAAACCATCTAGCTGAATGGCTTCTTCCTCCCTGTTAGAGAAGAGATGGGAGAGCGCAAAGGATGCTTGTGACATGTTCGTTTCTCTGTGGACTTATTACAATTTACCCTTGGGTCTTATGGAGAAAGACACAAATGCATCAGCCAGATGTTCAACCTCCATTGGGGAGCACTTATGGACTTAAAGTGAATTTATCCAAATGTAACCTCATAACAGATAAACAAATGCATTTAATAAGCTAAAAAAAAAGCAGCTAAGATTACTTTAAGATCGGAGTCTAAATAAAGGGTCAGTCAGTTTCCTCAATCTTACATTGAATCAGTCAAGTGAAGTTCAAGTCCATACAGACCTTTGAACAACCTCGTCATCTGTGCGGGATCCGTCTCTGCTCTTCCCAAGGTCCTCTTCCACTGTGCCGTCAATGTCAACGTCATCATCAGCTTTCACAGATGCTGCAATTATGCAAAACAAAGATTATGGCAAAACCACAAATAAATGTAAATGCACCATTGGTGATAAAACAAAGCACATAGGCTATACAGATTCAAATGTGTTATTTAACGATATAACAGCACTAAAATACA